TGAGATTTGAGCCCTGACAGGCTGCAGATGGGTCTCCTTCTCCCTTTGATTACACCATTCAACAGGTCTTTTTATTTCTAAGAGCTACAAATGCACTTAATAACATAAAAGACCATTTAGGTCTCAAATACTTTTTTCTTTCACAGCAATTCCCATAACCCTGGAGCCAGGCTGGCCTCCTTTCTTCTCTCTCATGGGGTTGCAAGGGATTTGTCTGTATTAAGGGGTGTTTTGCCTCTCCTCTCCCCAAATTTCTCCCTTTCACTGGGGGACCAACACATGCAATAACCCACTAAGTAACTGCAGCCATAGCTCAAGTCCTCCACAATTACTGTCATCATACTACTAAAATATCTCTGCTGTCGCAAAGAACAGGCTATTCAGACCATGTATAGAGCAGATACAGGAGGCTGAGAGGGCAAGAAGGACCATACTTGTGCTGAAAGGACATGATTTGATGTTTGTCTTCAAAGCCCTAGTGGGTTTGGAAGTCCAAAAGGATTAAAGACATTCAGGTAACATGATTCACCTATAAAACTGCAGTGATACAGCCACATCACTGCTTTGACCCTGTTAGTACCACTTGAAGCTATTTCTACACGCAGTTAGAGTCTGGCACGGCCGACCATAACCATGCTGGGATGGAGCTTTTTCCTCCCAGAAGACTGACTGTGGGCTTAAAAAAAAATGTTTTCATAATAAAATAAAACTGAAATCCTCAACCTTAAGTAGTTAATTCTGTTACTGGCCAAAAAAACAACCCCAAAACAGCAACCCACCCAACAAACAAAACCACTGACATTTTCCTGTCTGTACAACCTACTGTCGAGCAGGAAAACCAAGAAAAACAAAACCATAATGTTCAGGATGAGGTGATTTTTCTGGGGTAAACAACTCTATGAGAAGCCTTTTCCAGACCAGAGGCTCATCCCACAGTGACGTGAATCTGCAGGAGGGCCGTTAGTCTGGTGGTTAAAGCAAGAGCCATCCTGGACGACAACCAGCATCATGCTGGGAACCTCTCCATCTTTCAGGAGCCCTCAGGCACCCAGTGGTGTCAGCAGATTAAACTGGGTTTGTCTTTTAGCCAAACCAAATCATCACCAGAAAAAACAGAAGGCAGATTAATAAAAAGCATCGCAGCCAACACAAGAGCTTTGTCAGGAGTAATTCAACCTATCCATTTTCTGTGAAATGGCTAAATTTTTCTTTTACTTCAGAGATGAGACAATGAAATTTGGGCTCTAAAAAAGTGCATATATATATAGAGAAACAGAAATTCACAACGTGGCTTAAAAGAAACAACACAGAAAACAATTCCTAAACTGAATGTTCTAAACTGCTGTTTTGACTCGAGCATCTGACCAGTCTCCGTAGCAAGAAATAACAACTGCAACAGCGCGGAGGACTTACTGCCTTGCTTGTGAAGCAGAATTTCTCTGCAGTCCCACCTGGGAGGCAGCAGCCGTTACACACCAGGCTGCTGCTTCCATCAGCACCTTCAAGCAGGCAAGGGAAGGACGACCCGGACCAGGAGCCGCGGTCCCGGGGGGCCCGGGGTAGCTCCTGGGGATGCCACCGCTTCTCTTGCCGCGGTACCCCGCAGCCGGCAAGGGCCCCACATATGCAGCCTGGCTTCCTCACGGCTCTTTTAGAGCCACTTCCCCCCACTACCCCAGCCCCGGGGTCCCCCGCAGCGGTCGCGGTCCCGGTCCACGGCCGGAGCCCCGCCGCAGCCCGCCCCGCTTAGCGCACTGCGGTGCTACCGCCGTGACTCAGACCCGAGGGCAGTCCCCTGTACGAAAACCATCACCGCCACACCGGTTAATGGGTACAAACGCAGATTTCCACCCAAAACATGCCCCCCTCCCAGTTCCTAGGAAAAACTCTACTTCCCACGCCCCCCCCGCTCATCCCCACTGAGGACTTGTCCTTCTGCTCTCTCGTCTCCCCTGACCACCGTTTCCCCTTGGTAGGCTCCCGTCAAGACGGGGGCTGGCCCCCAGTCTCCCAGCGCCCCGACAAGGCGAAGGGCACCGGGCTTCCTCCGCTCCTCCGGGACACGACCCGGTCCGGAGCCGCCCGCCCCATCCTCACCTGCTGCCGGCCAGCACCGCTCTGCCTGCCGGGCACGGGATGCGGGGCGGTCTGCAGCGCCCGGCTGGGCCAGCCCCGGGGCGGAGCTGCGGCCTTGGCCCTGCCCTGGCGCCGCGGGCAGTGCGGGAGGAGCGGTGCCGTGCGGCGGGAGCGACCTCTCGTCGCGTGGGGCTCGCACGGGCCGTGCAAAGTTGGCCGCAGGCAGGGGCACGCCGCAGGGCTGGGGGTAACGGTGCGCGGCGCCGCTGGTTCGCGTAGAACCATAGAATCAGCCAGGCTGGAAAAGACCTTTAGGATCAACCGTTCCCCAGCACTGCCAAGGCCACCACTATCCCATGGCACTGAGGCCTCGTCTCCACGGTGTGTGAACACTTGCAGACAGTGACTCCAGCCCCAGAACCACAATGGCCAGTAGGCCACTGCTCCTGAGGTGGACAGGGCAATGAAGTAGGCTAGGGGGATTGATGAGAATCACTCGTTACCTTCTACTACTTTCTTCCCAGTGCAAGATGCGGCCGTGCCCATCATACATCCCCAGATGTGGTTAAATAAGTGTGCGAGTTAATAGACAGGGCTAAGGAAAATGATGAAGAGTCTTAGAACAAACAAAAGGAAGGCACCGGGAATGGAAAGTGGCAGTTTCCTCCAGAGGTAGCTGAATACTGCTAAACATTCCCAACCTGGAAAATCATTGGAGAGCAACAGAAATGTGACTGAGAACACCCAAAGTGGGTTTTGCTGTATTAAGAGATTATAACCAGCACTATCTAGAAAAAGACATTGAGCGCAGGCTCGAGTGCAAGATGAAATCCCTGTAACTACCAGTTGTACTTAAAAAGGTGCTCTGGGTTTATTTTTGTTGCCACAAGTACCAGTCCATTCATTAAACCTAAAATAAACCCAGAAACACTGGGATCTTAAACCACCTTCCCTTGGTGTGTCAAATCACGCTCCCTTGGCATGTCCCAACTGAGTTATCAGTCAGCTCAGTCTATGATCTATATGTCTTTAGGGTTTTACCTCTGTTTAAGCCATAAATAAAAGCAAAGGGATGTCAGAATAAGATGCTTTGGGTTGTTATATGCAACTTACTGACAATCCACTCAATTAAGACCCGATATTAAACTCCCCCCTTAATTTATTAGTTCAGTTTGGAAACTTTGTACTGAAGAACTGGGAATGAGGAACTTCAGCCACAGCTGAACATTCACCTGTTTTCCCTTCCCAAAATCTGGGGTCAGCTCCTCCCAGGCAGGATACATTTATCTCCATCATCACCGATATATGGTATTTCCACCTCACATTCCTTGCATAGATGATGAGAAATTCCTTGAAACAATGACAGGAAAAAAAACCCAGCACCAGAATAACTTGCACAGCAACTTTGGGGTTGGTTTTATTTACCACTAGCTGGCACACCACTTGTTTTTCCTCTCATGTGATGCAGTCACAGCAAGGAAATGGTAGCCAAAAGTTCTCCCCATTAAAGCATCCAGCCAGCAAAAGCCCACAAACCCAGTTTTCCAGGTACAGAAAAAGAACTGGATTAGATATGAATTTGTGTTGGCTGTGCTATGGTTTTAACCATATTTTGAGTTCACAGATGTTCAACAAGGCTCATTGTAGCTTGAAACATCAAGTCTTAACCAAGCATCAGTATCACAGTATGAGAGTCAGAAGCCAACAGAACTTCAGGCTGAACCTGAATTTGGCAGCTGAAGGGAATGACATGGATACATCTCAGTCTATGTACACACATATGGTACCAACCACAGAAGTGTTCAAGGTGTTGGGTACACTGTGGTGGCAATTCACAGCACACCTACCTGCTGCCTGTCTGCTGGGTCAGTGAAGTGCTCTTCTTCCAACGCAGGACCTCGAGTCATTTCTCTCCTGCTTTCCCAGTGAAGATTTCCACTGTGCTGGCAGATATAACTGATGCCTTGTTTTCTCCTTGTTTTCTTATCCACTTCTCTTTCATGCCAAGCTGGCTTGAGCTTTGGTTTTGGGTGGGGTGAGGAGAACCACCAGCCCTACTTCGAATGCACATAATGAAGAGTTCCAATGCTTGCAGCAGCACTGCAGCTGGTAGCTTTAGGCAATAAGCCATGTGCTAGAACAGCTTCCTGGAGCAATGGAACCACCTTTTTCCTGTTAGAAACACACGTTTGGTACGATAACAACATTTCATTCCCCTTACACGGTCACCTTCTCATTTGAGACATGCACAGTTGGAAGGAGTCCTGTGACAAGCTGTGCTTGGACCCAGGGCCTTGCACCCACACATCACAGTGCTCAGATGTTGAGAAAAAACATTGTCCTGTGTCTTGGCTTCTTCCACAGTAAGCAGTAATTATGGTTCCTCTTTAACATCCCAAGGGAGAACCACTCCCAGAGAAAACTACCAAGAGTTGGGAGTGTTTCTGTAGAGCCTCAGAACTTTCAGCTGATATCACTGAACTAGAACAGATCCTGGTTCAGTACCAAGCAAGCCTCCAACCATGAGAGTTATCTGTCCTTAAGCACACCCAACATCACTGGAATGAAGTCCAGTTCCAACTGAATTCTTCTTTCACTGATCCTTTAAACAGATGATGAATACTCTGTGAAGAAAAAGCATTACAGCACAAACATATTTTCCCCTCACAGTTAACACTTGTACCGCTGTGGAAGATCCAAATGCTGCGTGACACTTAAGATGAGCACATGGAGAATCTAATACCATGACTTGCAAAAACCCCAGGCTTTCTGTACGAGCAGTAACTAGTCAATAATGGAAACACTTGGAACCAGAATAAACTGGTTTTCCCCACAGGAGCTACTAATTCTGGGTGTCAAAAGGAAGAACTGGCTGGTCACACAATTATTGCTCAAGTCCTGGCAAGAAGAGTCCCATGTAGCACTTCAGAGCAAAGGAGGCAATTAAGTTGTTTATTAATAACAATGGAAACAAAATAAAAGGGATAAAGCAAACAGATACTTCTTTAAATAGAAAGTTTCTAATCATCTAGTGTTCTGTCAGGTTCCCCTTTTCTTCCTCTTTTCTCCTTTTTATTTAGGCGTAGTTACAAAACTCCAGAGAGGATCGAGGGAAACGTGATAATTCAACACAAATTTGACACCTATGACAAAGTCTGAACAGCAAATATTTTATAAAGAAAAACCTCAAAACATATTTACAAATTCATACTTTGTAGTTCACTGAGAAATTCCTTGGGTACCCAGTGGCAGCTTATGCACATACACTACATTCCAAAAAGGCATTATCCAGTCAGAGTCACTCAGCATAAAATGAAGTTGAAAGACAGATTGTCTAAAAATAAGGCCAGTTTCATTCCTCATTTATGTACCTGATGACCAGAATTTTCTGGTACTTCTATGCTAATAAACAAAAAGAGTGGAAGAGCACCTGATCTCAAGAGCAAACTGCAAGTTTTATCCTTAGCAGGAGTTATTAAGAGTAGAAACTCACCTTTTTTGCCATCTTGTCTATTGCTAATTTTAAATGCTTGTATAAAACCAAACCCCCACACCTGTATTTGCAATATGATCATAAATAGGCAATAGTTTAAAAATGTAAGATATGATTACCTCAGATTATCAAGCTATTTTGTACCCTGGGAAAAAAGTGAACAAAGCCCAAACACCTTCTTTGCCTGTCCCTCCCTCCCTCCCTCCCCATCTTTCCCCTTCCAAACCAGGAGAAGAAACCAAGTTAAACTCTGATGAATATTAGAACTGGCACCAACATTCATGCTAGTTGTCCTGATGTGCAACAGGAATTCCATTTACAACAGTCAGAAATATTCTTATGCACTAGCCCCAAAGAGTTCAGCTTCTGAAACCAGTTTATTTTGTTCTGTTAAAGAGCCCATCAGGTGTGACGTGGGCAGCGTCCACCAGGCGCAGGAATGTCCAACACCCTGCGGCGATCTTCGTATTCATCAGTGTCTGTGGAATCTTCGTCTTCATCCACTGCATATTCATTGTGATTTGTTTCCTACAACAAAACACATCCTGATTTAATTAACATCTTTTCCAGCTACTCCTAAGGAAGCACTAACAACTGTGTAGAAAACTCTGGTCTGCATTATGGTGTCTATTAGAAGTACACATTGTGATCTTCATCCTAAATCCAGCTCCTAACAATGCTTAATTTGTCATAGAGATAGTTCTGCCCAACTTCTTGACCATTAACTCACGAAATAATGAAGGCTGATGGCTATTTACTACGTACAATTATGTAAAGCCACAATTCAGTACCAGTTTTCTTGGCAGCTTATATTGTCTTTTATTAAAAGCAGTTTAAAAAGAAAGGGTCATTACTTGTAGAGCAAAAGAGAAAAGCAGTTATTTACAGCCCACTGAATGGAAGGAGGTTACAACTCCCATAAACAGAAGCATGAATTAAGAGATGCCATTATCTCTGCCCATGGCAGGAGGTTGGAACTAGGTGATCTTTCAAGTCCCTTCCAACCTAAACCAGTCTGTGATTCTATGATCTTCTGTTAGAATCACGACATCTCCTGGCACTTAACTCGTAGAGCTACTGGTAATGAGTGTTTCAAATCCCTGGAAAAACACGAAGTGTACAAGTAGAAGCCTACTCCTGAGGAAAGAGTGCTTGCAGAAAACTCCCAAGTTTTATCTGAATGAGTCTAAATGCCTATAGCAAAGGGAGAAATTATATAGTTAACCTGCAATCTCCACACTGAAACTACATTATAAGTAACAGCAAGCTAAATATCTTACTGATTCAAGAAGTCATTAATTGACTTTATGAAATGCACTTTCAGTGACATGAGCATCATAGAGGCTGCTATAATTTTTTAGTTGTCATCAACTGAAACTCTTCTTGCTGAAGAGAGTAGATACATTCTTATGGCTAAAAGAGGCAAAAGCGGTCATACTGAAGTAGAATATTCAAAAGAACTGTGAAATCTAATGCACTGCCATGTTTCTAAGTACAAATTAAGACCTTTGAAATACACCCTGAACATACATCCACACACCCCTATCTATTTCTGGGTACCCCGAGAGGGAGTTGTGTTCAGACACAGGACAACAGAACAGTCAGATTCTACCTCTGTCAGGAACCCACAGGGCCCCTCATCTCACTGATACAACCAGGTATCACACCAGAAAGAGGTGAGGACTTGAGGAAGGAGACCCAGAGCCATATGCAGCATCCTATGAAAACTAGGGCTGAGGGTCCTGAATTCAACTGGTAGCATTCCATGTCAAAAGCAACGAGGCTATGTGACTTTACCAATGTACAAACTCCTACAGAGATTACTACAGTTGCTAGGCTTAACTGGCACGTGTTTTGGAGTTACCAGTATAAATACTGTTCAGTACTGTAATTTTTGTACTAGAAGTGTTTTCACAACTGCACCTCCACTTACCATTCGTGCTGTAGACACCTTGAATGTTGGACACACCATATGGAATCTAGGAATTGTGACATTGAAGAATTTGTCCTTGTAGTAGAGGCAATGAAAGGTGTAATAGCCCTCCATGTATCCAGATGTTGTGGAAAACGTAGTACAGCTGGTATATTCATAGACTTTCCCTGGGCTGATAATGGGAAACTCCCCTGTTGGTAAAATAATAGATCATGACAGTAAGGACTGAAGTAGAACTTGCACTCCACAACATATTCAGGCAGATCATTTTATATTCCAGTGGATGCATAAATGATTCTCAGCCATTATTGATGTTAAACTGTCTGAAGGGTGGTTAACTATCAGGATGTTCAGATATCCCTTGCAAAACTACTTTAAAGACAAAACAGAGAATACACCTCTCTTTCTTTCAAGCAACAAGCTGATTTTGATATAAACTGTGTAACTACTACCTTCTGTCACTATAATGAGTAACTAGTAATGTAAATTCCCCAATATGTAAATACAGAGCACATCTAATGTACACTAAGTACACCAAATACAAAACCTCTCTCTCTATTGCGTTAGTAAAGCAATCTTTTACTTACCAACTACTCCAGGACCCTGAACTTCTTCTACATCACCTTTGGCATTTGTTATTTTCCAGTATCGACTGTCCAGCTGACAAGCCTTTTCAGGAAGAGCATCTTTGGACATTTCAATTCTAGAAGCCAAAATGCATACTTAATGGTTAGGTAACTACCTCTGTACAATTTAAGAAAGGCTTTAGTGTCCTTGGATCTAAGACTGGGCAAACAAAACCCCACGAAGTAGTGAAGATCCATCTCCATGCCCCTGCTTTGCTATCTGCTGTTATTTACCCCTTTCTACATCACAAGAGATACTTGTAACTTCTTTCCCCCACCCATCACTGTACTTTACCAATTACTAACCTGACTGGTACTCTGCATACCTGATCAGGTAATAATCTAGTATTTTCCTATTAGAAAGTGCAGCATGTTGTGCACATCTTGTTCATTTTAGAACAGTTTTGAATGCTTTGCATAAATTAGCATCAACCAATGCTTTGAACATTACGTAAGTCCCTGTGTTATAAGAGTTAATTCAGTTGTTATTTTTACCTGATTCTGTAAGTGAAGAAATAATGTGGTGGATGTACAGAACTGAGTTCAGGTAGAAAAGATGTGGACACAGAAACAGTAATATCTTCAGTTGTAGCAACACATTCTTTATCATGGACATACCTACAGAAAGGAAAACGTTAATGCTGCAAATTGCTCTGTACATTCAGTGCAGAAAACTACACATGTAAAGTGATTAAGTAATGTAACGAGAGCACTATGGGGCCGAGTAATACTTAACTCTCCATTTGGCAGTTAAATAGAAGACATATGTATGCAGTGTCTTCATGATGTGTACCTCCCCATCACCTAAACTCATACAGCTGTGGATCTCTTTGTACCTCCATTAATGCTTGTATTAAGCTATGTGTATGATTTCCTCTGAAGTCAATGAAAATACACTTGTTTAAGGATGTGTCATCATGCTGTTTAAAAAACTCCCAAAACTAGAGACTCCTACAGTTTTTGCACCAGCTACTCATAACTACTTGGAAAAAGGTCAGCATTCTAAAAGAAGCACCAAAGCCTTGCAGAGAAATTGTAAATCCCAGTCACGATACCTGAAAATCTGGTCTCTGATGATAGGATAACCTCCAGTTACAACTTTGTTTACATAGGATGTAAACCATTCCAAGTAAGATGTACCTAGATGCCAAAGAAGAATATTCATCAGAACAGGCAAATTCACCACTAAGCAGATTACAATAAATGCTTCAAGGAAAAAGTTTACAGCTTTGATTGTTGTTATAATAAACTCTCGGTTTCGATGACTCAGTATTCCAGACCATCTACCAACAAAGACCATTTGGAGAAACCAACCAAGAACTAAAAGTTAAGGGTGCATACTCCAGAAATGACAGAGCAAACAAAGAATCTCTTAGCTGAGTATGTCACGTTATAATCATGGTCTTCAAATGCTGATGTGTCTCACCAGCTCCTTTTCTGCTCATGACTGTTCTGCTATGACTGGGAAAGAGGAGAAGTATAGAGGCCTATACTACTTGTGTAGCAATTTTCAGCTACTCTACTTGCAGAGGAATGCAAGCCTGCTGGTGGATTTACGGACTTAGGTTTGATAACCAAGTTTCCATACGAATAGTTTCTGAAAAACACGCTAGCAAGTTGCAGTATTTCCTTCTCCTTAAAACCAGGGATAAGTCACAGACATCCTCCGCAGTCCTGTGACAAACCCAGAAGACTAAATCTGTGTGTTATTCTGAAGAAGCTGGGATTTTCATACACTTACAGCCATTGTCTGAGAACAGCCTTTCATACACCTACAGCTATTCTTTAGGAACAGCTTGATTTCCAAGTAGACAGTCAAACTGTCACATTTAACTCTCAAGTTGGATTTAAGCTGAAGTACTAAGAAATCATTATTCTCACCTTCACTGATGTGTTATCAAGTGCTACCACTCCTGTTAGATTAAGTGTACTTACTGCTTCTTCCTTTGAGCAAGAGCTATGTGTACTGTCCTTTGATCTTTTGGAAGTCTAAGGAACTCCAGGTTTATTATCCTCCTTCCTACCACTAATCCACAAAATGCAAACCTTGTATAAATGAACTCTGAATGGAGGAAGCGGATGAATTTACCCCATCACCCTCAAAATGACAAGATAAATGCTGTATATGAAAATTCCCCTCTACCTTGCAGTAAGTCAAGATTGGAATACATTTAAATATGATGTCTGATCACCTCACCACTGACTCAATTCCATAAAAGCAACAGCCTTGAGCTGCAATACCAATATATCACCCTCAGGTGGAGTGAAGCAAGCATCCAAACTCTTGAGCTTTTGCTGTGTATTCCTTATGATGGTTCTAAAGTACACAATGCATCCTGCAATAAGTCCTTTGTAAAGCAGGTAAGAACGTTGACTATATCACACTGAAATCAGTTCATACTGATCATACCACTACTTAGAAAGGTTTCCTAAAGTTAGCTTGGTTAAGCATTTGACTACCTTCATCCCAAACCAGCATTGCCTAATGCGGTTGCTCACTGTAGTATCAGTACGTATATCCTCAGAAACATGCCAGGCTAAATTTTAAGTAGGGTGCCATTTATTACACATCTGTCTTCACACCGAGTGAAAGGAATTAATTTAGACATAGCCACAATTACCAGATTCCAGTAGATTACCAAAAAGAAATAATCAAACAACTGGTGCAGTCAGTGTACATGTCAGACAGATGAGCACAACAGATTATTACATAACCAAACAACAATCATGCAGTTTTCCCCTTCCCTCCTTTTGGGCACTGGACTAGATGACCTTTGAAGGTCCCTTCCAACCCAAACTATTCGACAATTCCTTTACCCTTTGAACAAAGCAATCAGGCAACTAAAACATCCAGAAAAGTTTTCTTCTATGTTAATATTTAAATAGATTTCCTTAAGGGACACAATGTTTTCAACTCCTTACATGGCTGCAAAAGCTACTGGTGAAAAAACACCCAATCTTTCCGTCCACATGGGTGTTGCTTTTAACAGATGCTTACATCACTCCCATGAGCGCTAACTTAAAGGTTCTGCTCCCCTTGTTAGACAGGTTAGTGCACTGAATGATTTGTACACAAGGCACACACAAGAACAAGCTTCATTAAAGAGAGCTTGCATATCAATTCAAGTAGGCACTGATGATTTTAAGCAGCTTAGAGTCTTGCAAGTAACACAGAAAATTCAGCACTTGCTTTGCTCAAGTTGTACTGACAGGCATTTTCTAAACAGCACAGTTAAAACATTTTGCAGAGTATATTATTTAAAGGCTTACCTGTAATGAACATATCAATAGCAGATGGGTTGCGAGCCATTTGGTCCTAAAAGAGCAAGAAGTGTACGGATATATTAGAAGGAATGCATTAGACTTCTAAAGTTAAAATTCAACACCTGAATACAACATAGGAAACACTTTCCCTAGATTCACTAAACAAAATCTGTTTACTACATCATTCTAAGTTTGAATATGTGACTGGGAGTATAAAACACACACGCTTGTCCCCATGAATGCTCATGTGATCACTGAATATACAGCCTGAACATTCCATGAAGGCTCATGCATACAGAATCAGATTCAATGCATCATTCAAGAAATAAGGCTCCCCCAAATACTGCCTTAGAACAGAAGCACAGAACAGCTAAGGTTGGAAGAGAGCTTTCGGGATGACCAGTCTAATCCATCTGCTTGAGGCAGAGTTAGCTACAGCATGTTGCCCAGGATCATTCCCATCCCTGGAAGCGTTCAAGGCCAGGTTGGATGGGGCTTTAAGCAATGCAATCTACTGGAAAAGGGGGAGGGAGTCATCAGGGCATAAGGTAATGAGAGGGCTAAAAACTTGTTACGTTTAATATCCTTAAGCTTCGCTAACAACAATACGCCTATCTTAAAATACCAGAATTATGAGGAATACTCAATTATATTCTACAAAGGAGCTGTTCAAAAGCAATTTGCTCTCTCACTAGAGTAAGTTTTCCTTAGAAACCAGGGTTATCATTTACTGTAGGAAGTTTACATTTAAAATATCTAGGGGAGGAGATATATACAGATGCTGATCTTCTTTAATGGAAGCTTTTCTTCCTTACAGAAACAGGGGCAAAAGGGTATATCTGCCATAGTTTGAACAAATTAAATTAGTACCTTCCAATAAGGACGAATGTATAGAAATTGTTATAGATATCAACAACGTCGTGTAAATTTATTTCACTTACGGGCTTTGGTACTTGCCCTTGAGTTGCCATCTGGTTTTCATCACACTAACATCATTTTTCAGCATTCACTTTCTACAATGCAAAATACTTTAGGTATCTGATAACGTGTATAGGGACAGCAGCAGCCATTAGCAAAGTACATTCAGGAGTATAAACACATGCTCCTTACAGGACACTGATAGAAGATCTCGTATTTATTTCGTCCCTCCACACTCTCCAGGGCCATGTATTGACTCAGGCCAGTGTGAATGCAGAAAGTAAGAGGAAGACACTGCTTCAGGCCTAGCCTCTGCTGAAAACCTCCAGCTGCTGTGTCGATATCCAGCAAGTCTTCAGAGCGGTAGTGGTTTGACAGTGCCATGCTTCCCATCAAACTGAACAGACAGCAACAAAAAAGGAATGATAAAGAGAAGATACCACTTACAAGGCAAAGACAGCTTTAAAGCTTTTCTAAGTATTGATTCGATGCATATGAGACTTAGATGAACTCCAAGTCTAACACCCAGGTGCTGAACTAGGTTATTAGTTCACAGCATCAACCTCTGCAAAGGGAGGCTTGATGGCTTCAAGATAAACACTTCCTTGTATATATTTTAAACTGTGTTGGTGATTCCCATCATCTCTGCAACTGCTTCGAAGAAGTTGTTCACAGCCGATACAGCTTCCTATAGTAGCAGAATATATCCTATCTATATCTTAAGTTTTGTGCAAGTTCATTTCAATACTATCAAAGCATCCATGACTTTTCAACCCACTGCAGTAACAGTCATTGATCAAAACTAATGAGCAAGGTTCTCTACAGTGTGGACAAAAGGCTGAGAAGTAAACTAGCTAAATAACCATTGAGTCAAAGAGATTATAATCTCAGTATAGAAAGTAAAGGCATAGAGACACAGGTAAACGGACATACAGGGAGAGAATGAGACAATATTCATCAGCAGGACATGGCAAGACCATCAAGTGTCTTTCCAATTTTTTTCCTCTCTAGCTTTTTGTAAGTATCGCAGCAAAGAATGGGTTTTGTTATCTGTTTGGTTTTGACAACAAGGAAGTGACACTGAAGACAGTAAAAGAAGCCACTCACACATAAGAAAAGTAGTATTAATCTGAAATATGGCACAGAATAGGAACAAGGTGAGTACTGGAAACTAAATTTAACCTTGATATGAATGATGGGCTAGATGCCAGCCAGGGTGAAAATAAACAAGCAATCTACATTCAATGTAATAAAGGGGCAGACAATGTCAGAATGGTAGAAAAGGGGTAACATGATCAAATTAATCAACTACAAGAACACACACTACAGCAGCGTGCTTAGCAGCAGGAGGAGTACACAAACCTGTCATATACACCTCCCCACCCATACTCCCTACTAATTTGCCTTTCACTGATGTTCTCAGATGTAAACTCCTGCAGATGCTGAAGCTTTTACTGGTGTTATGAAAGCAGTGACTCAGGTGCAAGCTGCCACACGTCAGTGTGATATAAGCTGATCCCATCCTGGGCAACAGGTTCCATTCCTCTTTTCCCTTACATAGCCTTGCTGGAATTAGCGTGTTGTGCAGTTTAAAGAGTGATGCTAACATGCAAACACAGAAAGCTGAAGCATTCAACAATGACAACTAGTCCCAAATCTTCTAGGCACATCATCACACTAGAGGCTTTGTGGGAGTGAAAAAGTAGGAGGAAGAGCAGGAAGCACACAAGCTGTATCTGAAGTCTATAGAACTAGGGCACCTATCTCCTCTCTAAAAAAAGGTTTTCCTGGAAAAGAAAGGGAACTAGAAGTCATCCTTATGGCTGCATAAAAATGTTCCACATATTCCTTCTGCACATTTGAATCACAGAATGATCTGGGTTGGAAAGTGCCTTAAGATCACCTAGCTCCAACCCCCTTGCCATGGGCAGGGACACCTTACGCTAAACCGTATCAACCAAGACTCTGTCCAATCTAGCTTTGAACACCGCCAGGGATGAAGCATTTACTACTTCGCTGGGCAACCCATTCCAGTGCCTCACCATCCTTACAGTAAAGAATTTCTTCCTTATATCTAACCTGAACTTCCCCTGTTTCAGTTTGAACCCGCTACCCCTTGTCCTATCACTGCAGTCCCTAATGAAGAGTCCCTCTCCAGCATCCCTGTAGGCCCCTTCAGATACTGGAAGGCTGCTCTGAGTTCTCCACACAGCCTTCTCTTCTCCAGGCTGAACAGCCCCAACTTTCTCAGCCTGTCTCCACACAGGAGGTGCTCCAGTCCCCTGATCATCCTTGTGGCCCTTCTCTGGATTGCTCCAACAGTTCCATGTCCTTCTTATGTTGAGGACACCAGAAATGCACACAGAGCTCCAAGGGGGGTCTTCATGAGAGTAGAATAGAGGGACAGGGTCACCTCCTTCAACCTGCTGGTCACAGTCCTTCAACATACAACACTGGAATTGGAGAAAGCTGCACTTTCTTTGCTTGTGAAGGTTTTGGTAAAGTAACATGAATGCATTGGCCCCTACAGACACTGCAATGATTTGCTGTAGCTTTCAATCTTTAGCTAACACTAGCAGCATTTATCAGGTGCTGACCTGCTAACTCTGCCTATAGCTGCAAGATAGAAAACTATGTTTGGTTATTTACCTTCTAACCTTAACATAGGAGGAGTTTTCAATTGCTGAAACCTCATCAAATTGTATCAAATCTTCTACTGAGAAGACTTCATTAGCAGAACTGACATTTTGATTCTACTTGAAATGATTACCCGGTTTGAAAGCCATTCCCTAATCATTTTAATGAAAAGAGTGATTCCTGAAAGATCAAGAGGCCAATTTACTCATGTAATACAACAGAAAACTTTAGGAGAACAACTTGCAGTGGTACCATTGAAAGTCCAACAGTTGGAAGTTCTAGTTATTACCAAAAAAGAAACTAAATCAGGGCTCTCACTAGGAAAAAGGGCTGAAGTGCAAGAGTAATTTCAGCAAAACCACACTGTGTTTTCGGTTCCTCCCGAGACTGGAAGACAGCCAATTCTAGAAGCATCACTTCAAGCCATCACTCAGTTACATTTAAATGCTTGAGTTATCCTGTTCAGAAGACATTTTATATTGTTAATAAAGGAACTACCCAAGAAATAGAAAAGGAATTAATAACTTGGTATATAGTTTTTGCTCCTTACCCAGGAACAACGAGCTTCTGTCCATTATGAATACGAAAAGAACACCGATAGTCATCAGGGAGTTTGCAACCTATTTGTGCTTCCACAGCATCCAGATCTTCCTCCTGCACACTCTCTGTGTAAAAAAAAGAGACAGTAAGTGGCAGTTTTGGAGGGGAAATCTGCTGCTCCTACAAGATTCCTAAATGTAATGCTGCTCCACTACTCTGTCCCCAGTGCCCACTGTGCTCTTCCTGACACAGCTGGTATTAGAGGTTGCGTTAAGACCTCTCCTTCAAAATCTTATTTCACATAATTTCAATAGGGCTGCAGGGCTAAAAATGAGGCAAAAACTTGCCACATTCTACACATAACAGCATGTTTTCAACTTCCAAAGAGAATGTTAAGTAGCCCCAGCAACCTTAACAGTATGGAAGGTATTTTATGTTATCACAAAAGGAATACTTATTTCCAAGTATTTTGCCATTTATGATTCAGAGAAAGTGAAGTAACAGACATACAAAAGCAAGATAAAGTCAGCTCAACTTTGGGATGCAGCGGTCTACTAGCATGGTCTCAAGCATCTTCCATTGATTAAATTCATGCTAATGGCCAGACTCACTAAAAATCAAGTATTTCCAATACCAAACATAGAATTTTTAAAAGCCCTGATCAAACAAACATGGACTCAAGTCAATATTTGGTGACTTTATTATAAGCTAGGTGGCACAGAATGAATACGACATACGTTTGAAAGGAAGATGATTACTTAATACAGCACCGATCTCCATCTGATGAAATCTCTACAGGTCTGACTTAAGTAGAAAGTATTTACAAAGTGACATGAACCTTTCTCCCCCCAGTATTGCCAGTGAAACACACACGTAGGATGAAAGCAGTACCACAGAATCACAGAATGGTTTGAGTTGGAAAGGACCTTAAGATCGTCCAGTTCCAACCCCCTGCCATAGGCAGGGACACCTCACACTAAACCATGTCACCCAAGGCTCTGTCCAACCTGGCCTTGAACACTGCCAGGGATGGAGCATTTACCACTTCTTTGGGCAACCTGTGCCAGTATGAAAGTTAACAACAGGCAACCTACTAGGTATTACACTGTACCTTTCAAAGAACCAATCATCCGAGGACACCTCTGTCCCAAGTATTTTTCCAGGTCATCCCAGGCTTTTTTCAATGTAGCATAGTATTGGATGTATCTTCCCAGGTCAGAGTAGGTACTGATGAAGATGGCTTTCCAGCTCTGATTTCGTTGGCTTTTTTCCTCTCTAAGTGGATATGAAGAAAAGAAGCTAAAAAAACAGCCTAAAAAAGCTTAACTTCTATACCCAAGAAGTTATTTGGCAGCAGCAGTACGCATAATATTAAGCTAGGAACACTCTGAGCCACATGAAGCTACACGAACTCATTTAATTTTGGCATCTATTCAACAGCAACTTGGAACAGAATTAGGAAACATTCAGGGTATTTAGTACCAGGGGAAAAACAGTATTCCTTTAAATAGAGGGCTGCCTATTATTAAATCTTAGAACTGGTGACTGGCTAATTCACATCACATTTCACACATACAAAGACAAGGCTTGAAAAAAAAAACCCCACATTTTTGATCTACTGCATTAGTCACAAACTCCTTTATTCACCCAATAAAGAAGGATTAAGGAGCAAACCAGAGAGTTAAATGAGAACTCTGGGCACTGATATGGAAAGTCAATTTCTTAGGGAATTACTGAATATTCATTTCTCCCCACAGGTACAACAGAAGGCTATAGGAAGACAGGCTGCCAAAAATGTGCTAACATCTGACAAAGGATGCTTGACTCCAAACTGTAGCAGCCACATGTGGAGCACTGTGTCCAGTTCTATGGTCCCTACTACATGAAAGATATGGACGTACTGGAAAAAGTCCAACACAGGGCCTCAAACGTGATTACAGAACTGAAAGAATTATTCTGCCTGAGAAAATTCAGGGGGATCTTATCAATGTGTACAATTACCTAATGGGAAGGAGTAAAGGTGGAGGCAGATTCTTCTCAGCAGCACTCATTGATAAGACACTGGACACAGTCCTGGACAACCTGCTCTAGGTGACCCTGCATGAGCAGGGGAGTTGGACTAGAGGACCAAAAAGATCTCTTCCAACCTCATCTGTTCTGTGATTCCAGTAATGACATAAGAATCCAGCTGTACCCCTAACATGGCCATCCAGATGTACCCCTCATAATTGCAGCACTCAGACTTTCTTTCATAGAATATATGGTGTCTGATAAGATTAAGTTGCCCTCTTAATGCCGAGGCTGAAGGAGAAGCTGTGCTTCTTCTCTATCCATCCATAAAGCTTTTTAACACTTGTACCTTCATGAAGCTTTTTTAGGAGATGAGTATTTCTGATACCTCTAACCTTTCATCAGTTTGGTAAGAAGCTGGTGAATACCAATGCAGTCTTAAGAGTTACTAGAAGTAACGTGGACCAAAACAGATAGCACGGTAACATAAGTTTCATTTTAATAGCAAAAAGGCTTAAACCAACCACACTTACTCTGAAATAAGCCAGTATTTCTTGCAATGTCTTTTCCACAATGGATCATGGCTTGATAGCTGATTTAATCTTCGACTTAGATAGCAGCAACTATAAATATAAAATAATTTAAATTTATTACAAAAGATTAGCAAAATAAACAGGGATAAATAGTGACCAGTGTATTACACACTGCATTCTCATTAAATGAATGCAGAGGTCGAAAGTTAGTTAGCTGTCCTTTCTAGAGTTGTGCTTACAATGGTTAAGTCTCCATTATAGCTGTACCAGTCGTGAACTACTTTTCTCCATGCTTTGAGAACTGCCAGCAATTAAGCAATTCTGTAAAGCAGGTCACCCAGCAGGGCTGTGCCATCGTAAACATTGTCTGAAGGATTCCAGCGTGACTCCACTGCCCTGGCAGCAGGATTCCAGTAGCACAGCCTAGTCATGGTTTAAATTCCAACTGTAGGGTGGGCTGCATCAAAAGGAGTGTGAGCAGCAAGTCAAAAGAGATGATCCCGCTCTCTACTCTGCTCTCATGAGACCCTATATGCAGCACTGTGTGCAGCTCTGGTGTCCTCAATGTAAGAAGGACATGGAGCTGTTGGAACAAGTCCAGAGGCCATGAGGATGAAAAGGGGCTGAAATACCTCCTGTATGAAAACAGGCTGAGAACACTGGGGCTGTGGAGCCCAGAGAAGAGAAGCTGCTTGGAGACTTCAGAGCAGCTTCCAGCGTGTGAAGGGGGCTACAATGATGCTGGAGAGGGACTCTTCGTCAGGGACTGTAGGGATAGGACAAGGGGGAATGGGTTCAAACTAAAACAGGGGAAGTTCAGGTTAGATCTAAGGAAGAAGTTCTTTACTGTGAGCATGTGAGGCACTGGAAAAGGTTGTCCAAAGAAGTGACAAATGCTCCATCCATGGTAGTGTTCTAGGCCAGGCTGGACCAAGCCCTGAGTGACATGGTCTAGTGTGACGTGTCCCTGGGGTTCGAACTGGATGATCTTAATGTCCTTTCCAACCCTAACCATTCTGTGATTCTATGATTCTGGGTCTAGGCAAGGAGATAGCAAAAGCTAACCTATATTCCTGATTCCTAAATTGCTCTTTAAAAGCAGCAAGGGAGGTGCCATCAAATACAGTCTGTTCCCGTATTTACTTTTAGTTATAAAGCCTTTCTGAAATGTACAACTTGCATCCACAGCAAGACATTTCAACCTATTTATATGAGTAAAAATGGGCAGCAGAGCATCAGCAACATGCAGAGCAGTAATACAGGGAATGATTCGGTTATTCAAAGATTCATAGAATTTAAAAGAGATTATTGCCTCACTCAGTCCAACCTGAACACCAGCCAATAAACCTTTTCACTTCTATGTTTGAGCTGAATTATCAGTTATGCTTTAAAGAAACACCCCAAAGATACGACCAATTTAGATGAGGCAACATCACTTCCTTTGGTAGTTTGTTCTAAGAGTTAGGCGTATTTAATGGCTTTGATTAACATCTAAATACCCTAAATGAGATTACCAAACTTAAGCTTCCAGTTACTGCTTTCTGGGATCTTGTCAGTGTGATTCAGAAACTGGGAAGTAAGATAGACCAACACTGCAAATGGACACAGTTACGTACCGAAATAAAGACGCCTCTCATGCCTGTCTTTGACAAGTAAAATCAGCCAAAGTCCAGGGCTGGTCAAAATCTCCTGCACCAAAACTAAGGTGTTTTTCATATATGTAATTCATATTTAGCTGTTCAATCCTGCTCCCCCACACACATTATAAGAAAGTGATAAATGCTCCATCCCTGGCAGTGTTCAAGGCCAGGCTGAACAGAGCCTTGGGTGACATGGTCTAGTGTGAGGTGTCCCTGCTTATGTCAGGGGGTTGGAACTGGATGATCTTTAGAACTTTCCAACCCAAACCATTCTATGATGCTATGAAATCTATTACACTGGTGATTATTGATGCTTCTGGTAGGAAAGAAGTCACCCACCGTGGCATCACAGTAACACGTCTTCAACATGACACAGATGCAATTAAAGCCATTCTCAATAATTACATAAATATTTGGTCACTCATCAGCTTTTCTATTATTTAGGGCCACCACCAGCCTAACCAACCCATGGAACTGGTAATGTGTGTGATGGTCCGAGCATATATGTGTCACTAGAACAAACGTAAGCAACCTAGATTTGTCCTCAACTAACACAAACAGTCAGTTCTGCAAAACTGCCATTACTGACCTTTCAAATGAGAAGCCTACACAATATGTGATTGTCCTTGCACAGCAAAATCCATCTTACTTTGTTAAATACATAACACAAATAGGTAGCGTCTTCATCACACCATTAGGAACTACTACTAAATCATCTGTGCTGGGCTTGTAACAGTTGTTCTAGTTTTGCTTATACTTAATGCGTTTTTTGCTGTTAGAACTCTCTCACGTCTTTAGCTTTGTTGACTAGCATTTACAGGGGAAAGAAAAACCCCAAACAAACCCCATTTTGTTAATATTCTATTGCATTCATGCCTATACCTCCTTCTTTGATTAAGTGCTGTGCTTTCAATCGCTGCCAGTGCTTGTACTGCACTGAAAACACACACTCATCTTCACGCTATGACTCAACTCTAGAGCCATCCAGCAAAGCGTCCGAGAGCAACCTGCAACTTTCACTCATGGCTTTTTCTGCCTGAGAAGTCACCTTTTGTCCTTTCATTTGGTTTTTGCTCAAATCACTGAAGATACCTACCGGTGGAGACTGCCCTTTGTTTACCCAAGGGTATGCAACAGTTACGTGAGAGTTATTGACCCTGCAAATTTAGCTATGGGTTCATCCCTGAACTGTGATCTAGCTACAAACAGAACCAACGTACAACCGGGGAGAGAACAGCCCGAACGTTGCCTTCTGCCACGAACCCCCAGAGAAGGCCGGTGCTCCGCACGGGAGCGGCGCTCTGGGGTCTGCCCTGCACTCGGCAGCTCTCCAGGACAAGCCAACCCGCCTTGCCCGCACTCACGGAGCGCCCTGAGCCCCTTCGCCCCGACCCTTGCGATCCGCACACCCAGAAGTTGTGAGGCCCCGGGCCACCGGCAGCCCGCAGCCTTCACCCCACCTCCCACCGCCTTCCCCCGCCAGCTCCTCCCGCTGACCCCGCCGCAGGAGCCGGCCTCGGCTCCCCCGGCAAAGACACACTGGGCCCTCCCGCCTGCCCCCTCAGCTCCGCCGTGAGCGGGGCCCCGCTCCCCGCCCCGGCGCTGCCTCCGCACCCCCGCCGAGGCCCCGCTCCCCCACCCGCCGGGCAGCGCGGATCCGGCAGAGCCCCGGCCCCGACCCGTACCTCATCAGATCCCGGTAATCGAGGAAGCTGAGGATGAGCAGCAGCGGGTCGGTCGGCAGCAGCTCCAGACTAAGAGCGGAGGGCTCCATGTCCAGGGGCGCCGCCATCTTGCGAGCCGTCCCACGGCTGCGCCGCTCCGTTGTCAGCGGCCGGGACGCCGGGAGAAGAGGCGGAGGAGGGAGGGGAGTCCCGCAGCGCCCCCTGCTGGCGGCTCCTCCCCGCCCTCCGCGGCTCCTCCTGCGGGCGGCCGCCTCTCCGCGCAGCGTTGCGGCTCGCCTCAGTCCTCACCATGGGGTCGGGTATTGGGGTAGGCACCGTCCCCTGTGCAGCAGCCATATCCAACCCCCTCTGCCATCTCGGTGGTTAAGCGTGTCCCGCAGCGATGCTTACCTCGGGTGGAGACCATGAGGTGGAAGCCTCATGGCGGGAGAGGAGCTCCGTGCCTTGGGGAGTGCAGGCCACTCGGCCTTGATCCTCTGCTCTGGACCACCACAGGCTTGGCTGGTGTACGGCCATCTGTGAGCCCGGCGCGGATGTCCCCCTTACCCTAAAGCGTTCCAGATGGCGTGGTTTGGCAACTGCCCTGAGCCCATCTGGTCAATGGTTCAGGCAGGCTGGGACTTGGGTGTGAAGCTATGCTTTGGTTTTAAAGACTATTAAGAGATCAAGTTTCTTAATATACTTTCTGCATAACTTAAAGCCTGAATTACCTTGAACAATTAAAACACATCTGGAATTTTTGAAATAAGATAATTCAGTGTGTGAACAGGAAGTGAAATAATCAAGATTTAAGAGCAAAGTAGAAAGTAACAGAAGGAAATAGAGCAAGAATAGAAAGGCGCCTTCATGAGTTTGCTGAGGAAGCAGAAAATGCATACAAATCTGTGAAGCTACCAGATTTGATAATCACATATCACAATGATCATTTTCCAGTCAAAAAAGGGGTGATGTGGAATGCTGCCATTCAAAAGGGCAAAACTGCTCTTAAATCTTTAACTACACCTGCGCAAAATGGCCAGCGAGCATAAACGCCTCCAAATCTTCACACCACCAACGTAATAATGGGATTAAAGAGTGGGGAATCATCATGGACAGTGTGTGCCAAGAGTGGGGAGCCATCATGGACACTGAGTGCCAAGAGTGGGGAACCATCATGGACAGTGCGTGCCAAGAGTGGGGAGCCATCATGGACAGTGTGTGCCAAGAGTGGGGAATCATCATGGACACTGCGTGCCAAGAGTGGGGAATCATCATGGACACTGCGTGCCAAGAGTGGGGAACCATCATGGACAGTGCGTGCCAAGAGTGGGGAACCATCATGAACACTGCGTGCCAAGAGTGGGGAATCATCATGGACACTGCGTGCCAAGAGTGGGGAACCATCATGGACACTGCGTGCCAAGAGTGGGGAACCATCATGGACACTGCGTGCCAAGAGTGGGGAGCCATCATGGACAGTGCGTGCCAAGAGTGGGGAGCCATCATGGACAGTGTGTGCCAAGAGTGGGGAGCCATCATGGACAGTGCGTGCCAAGAGTGGGGAGCCATCATGGACAGTGTGTGCCAAGAGTGGGGAACCATCATGGACAGTGCGTGCCAAGAGTGGGGAACCATCATGGACAGTGCGTGCCAAGAGTGGGGAACCATCATGGACAGTGCGTGCCAAGAGTGGGGAGCCATCATGGACACTGAGTGCCAAGAGTGGGGAACCATCATGGACAGTGTGTGCCAAGAGTGGGGAGCCATCATGGACAGTGCGTGCCAAGAGTGGGGAGCCATCATGGACAGTGCGTGCCAAGAGTGGGGAACCATCATGGACAGTGTGTGCCAAGAGTGGGGAATCATCATGGACAGTGCGTGCCAAGAGTGGGGAACTATCATGGACAGTGCGTGCCAAGAGTGGGGAACCATCATGGACAGTGCGTGCCAAGAGTGGGGAACCATCATGGACAGTGTTTGCCAAGAGCGGGGAACCATCATGGACAGTGTGTGCCAAGAGTGGGGAGCCATCATGGACAGTGCGTGCCAAGAGTGGGGAGCCATCATGGACAGTGTGTGCCAAGAGTGGGGAACCATCATGGACAGTGCGTGCCAAGAGTGGAGAACCATCATGGACAGTGCGTGCCAAGAGTGGGGAGCCATCATGGACAGTGCGTGCCAGGCTATGGAAAAAGAGCTGAATGCTTCTGAAGACCTGGAAAGATGAGAAACAAGGTAAAGTCCTTCACCGTGAGAGCGTGGGTTTGGCAGGGACTGTCAATGGCAGTAACTGGTGTGCACATGTGTTCAAGGTGAGCACGTACTGGCAAGGCATTAAGTTACTATGGTTTGTGAAGTGCTGCTGGTGCTCTGAAGCGCAGCACTTGCATGCTCATTCTTACTTACTAGCCTTCCAAAATCAGTGTATTAGCTGAAACTGGAAAGTAGGTTCACATTTCCGCCAACATTAACGTGTCAGGGAGTGGATGAGGATGGCTCTTTGTTGCTCTTTTGAAACTTAACAGGCAGTCTATACAGCAGTCAGTGATTGCACTGCGTGGAAATGTACACAGTGTGATTGCACTGTGGGGAAATGTATACTTGGGAGCTTAGGCATTGATGAGGATGGAAATGGAGTTTGCCTATAATTCTGTAGGAGTTAGTAGTAAAAATTACTTAGCTATGCTGGTTAGCTAGCTCCTCAGGGCTGCATTGAAGAGCTGTCATTGTACTTTCCTAATGTGTAGCCTAACAATTGCAAAGAACACATAGTAAAAGGGACCTGTCAGTTCCTGAAGCTGAAAAAAAATGCACAAAAAAAAAAACAAATAAAAAAGCCCCCCAAACTCTAAAAGCAAAGATAAACCCACTTAAAATGGAAGCATTTAAGTGGTTTACCCACTCCAGGCTTTGCATTCTCCATCAACTAAGTGACAGGTGCACAAACTATGGGTGCAGGTAAGTTATGGTGGCATTTTTCCAGCTCTGTCTAGACATAAAGGTTCTTTCCCACTTTAATAACAGAGCCTAGTTTTTCTTCCATTATCACCAGTCATAGAGCCCAAATGGCTAAATATATCAGAGGTATTCCTCAGGCTGAAAATTTATCAGATTGCTTTGTGCATCCCATGTTTAATCTTCGAAAGATGATGAGGGGTTTAGATTCCTTCCTTTATTTTCACTTATTGAAAATCTGCTGAAATGGCACACAAGGGATCTTTGCCACTGGGTACTGAGTGTCTCTTGAAATTCAGCTAATGTGCTAAGATTTTTGGGCAGGGGGTGATCCACATTTCACAACATCAGCTTCTTAGTGCTCTAAATGGACAATAATAAATGGGCAAAAGTGAGACTTTGAGAGGAATAGACAGCTTGGGGAATTGATTGAAAGAAAGAAGCTGAGGTCCAGAAAATTTCTGTTGTTATTATACTATTATTATTGGGTTTGTTCTTTACTGTAGCAAAGATGCAATAAGGTCAGGGCCTCATAGGAACAAGCAGACAATGACCTTTACTTGGAAATCTGATCATCTGAAATTAACCAGCACACACTGAGTGGCTGTAATAAAGAGCATGAAAGGAGTAAGGTAAGAAAATTAAAACTAGGAGCTGTAGGATCATGCAGTGATTCCAATGAATCACATAAACATAAGGAGAGTTCATCAGCCCTTAAAAAGGTGAGGGATTTACATATGAGCTGATAACCAAATCACTTTTTCAGGCTTCCCAGGAGTGAATCTCAGATGAGATGTGAAAGATGACGGGCGGGTAGCTAAAGGGATCAGAGCCAGAACTTCAATGACATGTGTACGTGAATAAACCAGATATTGCATAGGAGCCTGTTGGACATTTTAGTAACAAATAGGATATGTGTCAGAGTGCATCTTCAGGCTGCCTTTGTCGGAATGAAACAATGGTTTGAAATAAAATCCCTTCCTCATTACTGCCACATCACCCAGCCAACACTAATGCCCCTCGTAAAGCTCTCACACAATGCTAAATTAGCCTTGACAGCTCCAAGGTCAAATGAAGTCAAATGAATTGCCAAGGATTCAACCAATGGACTTTATCTAGTGGTTACATGCAAGACTCAAAGCAGCCATAGTTGGGGTCTACTCCCAGCATTTATCCTTCTGGACCCTCTAAGACAGTAATCCAGGCAGGTCCCTTAGCACAGAAAGTTGGAAGCTGAACTAGAGCCTCATATCCTTGTGTCCCTGGCCTCTGTGGGTCCTGATGTGGAGATGAGCTACGGAAGGAGCAGTGTGGTAGCATACCTGTGGCTGGTCTAGGTGGAGTAGTCAGATACATGGATGTTCTTGCATATATCAGTCACCTAAGGTTGACAAAAAGCCACCTCTGGTCCTCCCCTCTCCTGCAGGGCACAGCTCTGAGTCAGGGTGCTCTGTGACTTCAGACTTGTCTTTTTTCATTTGCAAATCTTTTTGTCTCAGATTCTTAGCTCCAAAATGGATCTGAAATATTTATGGATGTTTGCAGAGTTTGGAATCCCACTTGGAGAGTCATTTTGCCAGACTGGGCTTTATTCTTCAGATGAAAGAGTCCATGTTGGCACACACTGACATACCCGAGTTTTATTCTTTTCCAGGGCTGCTTATCTCAGAGTTGGTTTTCCTTTCATATCATCTTCTTTCACATGAATCATGTATAAGATACTGCTGCAAATGTAAACATTAACCTGTGAAAGTATACAAAATCAAGCTTTCTTACTTTACAGAGCACAGAAATGCATGATTCTTGCCTCCAAGAGCTAACACATTAAATGAAGCAGATAGTGTAGAAGAGAAACTCAGTGCAGTGAATAATCAGTAGATGCCTTCATCACAGGCCAGCAATGCCAGTACGTGCTTTCAGGTTCTGTACATATACAGTTGAATGTGCTGGTTATAATACTGACAGAGTAACACTGATGAAGTTCACAGGAGACCAAGACTGCTAATTTCAAACTTAACTTGGTCAAAAAAGGCAGTGATAAAGCCTCAGGAATATTTATCACTTCATGCACTTGCAGCGTTTCATTGCGTGTGATTCATGGTGCAATTACATGATTCATGGCCCAAGAGATGTGTGAGAGACCCCACTGAAAGCAAGGATAGGAAGAGTATTTCATGATCTCATGGAAGGTGCTGGGACCCTGGTGGGTTTGAGTGGGAGCTCGGAAGGTCT